TAAAATACCAAGCGAGTTTAATACTATCACAACCAACAGAAAATCTGCTTGTAATTCCACAAGTACCAACTTTGAATGGTGTCAGTGGAGTTTATTCAATAATTAATAAAGGTTATTTACTACTCGTGGAAGTTTAATTCTAATTATTGTATTCTTATAATTTTGTTTTTGGTTGGTTATTTTATAAATGGTCAATGATTTTTTAAAAAAGAGCTCAGTCCATGCATGTCAACCATCATCATATTTATATTCAGGTTCAATTATGTATGACAACCATCATCATATTTTATTATATTATATATTATTATATTATATTATTATTATATTATAGATATTCAGGTTAGATCATCCATAAAGACCATCATCATACAAATATTCAGGTTCGCTATATTGACTTCATTGCTCTGATATTTGAATTAGTTATGTTTTTTATTTTAGTTATATTTGAAATTTAAAATTATGGGATTACATTATTATATAGTATTGTATTATTAATAAATAAATAATAAATAATAAATAATAAATAATAAATAATAAATAATAAATAATAAATAATAAATAATAAATAATAAATAATAAATAATAAATAATAAATAATAAATAATAAATAATAAATAATAAATAATAAATAAATAATAAATAATTTATAAATAATTAATAAATAATTAATAAATAATTAATAATTGATAATTATTTTAATAATTTATATTAAATTTTTTAATTGTTTTAATTACATTTTATGATACTTTTTTATATGTATTGTTAAATAATATAGTTTACTTATTATAGTGCATTAATATTTTTTTTATTTTAGAAGAAAATAAAAGGAAGTTGAATGAATTAAGAAACAGAACAACTAAAGACAAGAAGAAAATAGTAGATTTGGAACAACAAGTGCAAGATATTGAATATAGACCAGTTGGGACTTCAAATATCGACAAAACTAAGGTCATCAAGAGAGACAACCAGATTGCTGATTTGGAAAAGGCGGTTATTGCGTTGAAAGATCAGAACACTCAACTTGATGCTGCTAATAAGGATAAAAAAAAGCAATTGAAGACGCTTTGAAGATTGAGAATTATAAATCACAGATTAAGGCACTTGAAGCACAAAAGAAGAAGGCTTTAAACAACAAAACTAATGAAAAAGACCGCCTCAGCTTCTCAACTAATCTGATAGAAAAAAGAATGTGGAAGACCAAGTCAAAACACTCAATGCACAAGTCTCGTCACTTAAAGTCCAAGTCAGTGCACCAGCTTCTGTTGCTCAAGAAGAAGAGAAGAACATGTTGAATGCAATAATAACTTAAATTCAAGCCAAACTCGATGAAGAAAGACAGAAGGCTTATAGTGCAGATGCATTTTGAAAGGCTGCTGATAGCAAATTACAGGAAGTTCAGTTCAACTTAGATGAAGCAAATAACACTAAAGAAAAATTGACTAAAAAGCGAATGACTTGACGGTCCAAGTTGATCAACTTACTGATGAGAAGAAGAATATTGAGAAGGATTTGGAGGAAATGGATGAGATAATAAACGACTTGAATGCCGATGTCGACAAGTCACAGAAGCAACTTGACACTGCAAATGATGACAGAGATGGCAATAAAGCGATGAAATAGAAATACCAAGACAAACTGAAGAGCATTAGAACTGAACTTGATCAAGAATAGAAAGACCACACTAAGACACAATTGATTAAAGGCAAGTACGAGAAAGATATCGCTGAAATCATAAAATTCATTTGCTCGGCAAATGTTTGTTTGCCCAACTGTATTCCAAAACTAAATAATCAATAACACAACCAATGACATAAATAAGGTTAGACCATTTGACCAATCATTTTCATCTAAAAGTGAATAAATACAGTTGATTTGGTAGTAAATTTGAACAAAATAATAAGAAAATAATGTTAACAAACTTCAAGTAAAGTTATCAGTCTTTTTGAAAATCAACGACTTGATATACTGGCTGTCTGAAACTCCACGATTTTCTTTCCTCGACGCTCACGAAGCAGCTTATTTCTTTGATTTTCGTTGTTTTGTATTTTCAGTTATAGCTGTTTAATTCATTGTCGTATTTGATCATTTAATGTGTGTTCGGTAATATGTTTTTGAACATATCAATATTATTTTTTTGTTTACGTCGAGTACCAAATAAACAGTTTTATTCGTTGATGAAAAAAAGCTTAGTTTCTATGTTTTTAAGTTGTAAAAAAAAATCAACCAATCATATTCGATAAATAAGTTTAACTGAATAAATCAGGTTTCCATATTGACTTTAATCCTAATATAAACTGGTTTTCAAAAGTCTGTACTGGAATATCCCGATATTTTGTTTTCTTTTTTAGCTTTATTTTTGGGAAGTTGGAAACCGAAAAATATTAAATGTTTTTTTTTGAGTAAAAAAAAATAAAAACGGGTTTGGAATTAATTTTTTTAACTTGGTGAATGTTGTTCGAACAAACACATTTGTTAAAAAAAAAATTTCCGTCTTAAATTTTTTTGAACAAAAATGTTAGACTTAAACAAAAATAGAATATTTTTGGTAATTTGCCAAAATACCACCATTGTGGACAATGGTATTTTGGCAAATACCATCTTTTTTTCAAATAAAAATAAAAAAGTAACTTTTTGATATATAAATAGTACAAAAATTGCAAAATCAACCCGATAATACACACAACAAGGCTACAAAATAAAAACAAATTTAAAAATAAAAAGCAAAAGAAAGAAACATGTTACAAAACCATTCAAATTAATTTAATTTTGCACAACAATTTACTAAAATGCCGAATAATTTAAGTTAATCATAATGACTAATGTTTAAAAAAATAATTGTACCATATTACTATTAAAAATAAAATAAAAACAACTATGATAAATAATACATTTTCAAAAAAAAGAAATAATCCTGATGGGATTTAAGCATTTTTGTGCAACAAAATAGATTTTCCTTTTTTTATGTTAATAACAAACAATAAAATTGTATTATAATATAATATAATAAAGAAAATCACAAAAAGGCACTTCATTTTAAATATTTAGAATGACTTTCCCTGTAATTTCCCAACAAAACCATTAAATAAAATTGTAACCCAATGTAAAACAACCAAAGGATCTTGCTCTACATCACAAATTGTTTTACGAAGACGACAAAAATAGTTTTTTGTATTTCAAACCAAGAAAAAATGAAAACGTTTAAAAACATTAAAATATTTAACCACACAAAAAACCAAATACAAAACAAAACAGTTGATAATAAAGTGAATTAATTGAAGGGACATTTCCTTGATAAAACATAAAGGAGCAGCCTTTTAGTTAATCCAAGACACCCCTTACAACGATTCTCGTTATAAAAGAATCACGACAGTTTAACCACGCGCATTGAACTTCGCTTATATTTTAATGCGCATCAACTTTCATAAGACTACGAGTTGGACAGACCGCGGTGACATAGCTTTCCTGACTTGAATAATTATGTGCTCTGACCTGACAAACAAACAAAGTAAGAATGTATTTTTGGTTTATTATGAGATCTCACCACAAACAACCCACTAATTTTGGCATATTGTTGGTTTGGTTTTGGAAGTATTTAATTTTTGACTGCAATAAAACCCTTCTTCATTTCTTTTATTTCATGTCTTACTAGAGTAGAGTCTACTGTGATCTAACTTTTTTAAACTATTTATTTATTGGTTTTAAAAATTAAAATATAAACTAGAACAACAAGACTAAATTCTAAAATTATATTTAAAAATAATTCAAAATAATAGTATATTTATTTATTTTTTAAACTATATTATAAACAATTAAAATACTTTATAATAACTTGACTCGACATTTGTTCAAATATTTTCAATTAAACTGGACGAACAAATAAATAATATACAATGTGTTCTGAAGCAAGAAGTGATAATTTCATGATACACATCGTCTGTTGACCCCTTGCTTACTGGCTACAGACTGTCTCTCTTGGCGAAGTGCCAAGCCTTTCAAAACCCGCGCAGTAATTTCACATAACACAAGTTCGTTCCACCGACTTGTTAACACTTTTGAATTGACTAACCGCGCGTTCCCCACATTGTAACCGACTTTCTTTTCAACATCAATTATATACATCGCTTCTTTACCAAATACCCACTGTAATAGACACTTCTCTCAACATCGCGCTTCAAGTGGTTCTTTGTGAACAACTGAAGTGGGACAGAGGCCAAAATTTTTCACACACTCTTAAGTAACTTTGACATTTTTCCATCCATTTTACTATAATCCACCTCATAAGTGCTGGGAGGAAATATTTTACAGAACTCCTTTGCAGCCTTTTTCGTTGCTTTGAACCAAAGATCAACTCTATCCATTCGCACAGATGTTTGCTACAATACAGTGACTCAAGTGCCATAATATTGATTCGAATATACTTTCTCGCATCATTTTTAGACCACACATTTAAGCTCCATGTTCTATAAAGTGTTTCTATCTTTCTTTTTTCCAAAAGTTGATGGTATTGAAATTCATTGAGAATTGTTGCAAGTAGTAGAACTCCGGTATAGCCTTTATCGGCGTTGTCTGGAGATTGTCATAGAAAATCCCAATAGAGCCAATCAGTCGTTCCATGTCAAAAAGGACATCAAATAGTTTCATATACATGTATGGCTCCACTCGAAACAAAAAGACAAAAGGTGTTGCTATAGAACTGTAATGGTTCCCATAATGCGTCCCAACTTTCGCAAATTTGTTTTGCAAATTATTGCGGCGCTCTTCGTCTTGTGCGACAACAGGATATGCAAGATCTCTGTATATCTGTTTTGAGCTTAGGTCGATGGATAGGCTTTTGTTATCTTTAATGACTCAAGGGAACACGGGGTACTGTGAAACGTCGAGTCCACTTCTTCCACTCTTCACAATGGGGTAAATCAAATACTCAAAGTAAAATATCCCGCCACATCTCCACATTTGTTGTATATCTGTTGTCTCTCTTTAATCTTCACTATTTTGACTTGTTAAAGTGGCTGCTTTTCATTTTCAAGTGTGTCTTTCGACGACAACTTCGTTGCGCATGAACATCGCATTGAATCTATCATTAATAGATATTTCTTAACTTCTTCTTCAAAGACTCTGCTGTGGATTTTAACAAACTTTTCGATGGTCCTTTTCCTTATTTAAATTTTGCCTTTGTCAATTTCCTCTTGTGCTTTCTCGTCTTTTTGTTCTCTCAAATACATCGTTATTGCTTTCTCACGACGTCGAACTATTTCGCTCTTCTTTTCCAGTTTTTCTTCTAGTTCTTCTCGATCATTCTTCTCTTTAGTGCGACGCTTCACACGAGTCAGAACTTCATTCATATGAGCTTCTTGTTGAATGTGGAATATCCTTCCAAAACACGCTTTGAATGTCTTGGTCGTATTTATAAAAGAATTCGTCGATCTCTTCAGTGCTTTGTTGTAACACCTTTTTGAAGCCTTTTTCAACTCTCCGCTCGGTAACAGTTTCACTAAAATGTCGGTGTATTCCATCACAATTATTTTAATGTACGTCTCTTGAAGTGCTATACCGCGACACCCCCGATACTTCATCAACGAAATCTCAAATATCGAAGACACGCACGTCTCGCTTTGAGTCTTTTTAATGAAGATGTTTTGATTGTGCAAATGGTCGATGACCGACATAAAATTTTTGTCTTCTAAAAATTTATGACTTGCACTTTTCACATGAAGTCATTGTCTTTACTTTGATACTGTTTGGGATCTACACGGACTCCATTTGATATGGTGACACTTCGTTCAACAAAATAAAATGTCTGCACCACAATAATACATTGTATAACGTCTATCAAGAACGCATAGTACTCAGGGTAACAAAAAGACACTTTGTTATTCCCTAACTTGTTAACTAACAACCGTAACTTGAGTGCCATGACCGTGAAAAGCTCACAATGAAAATTTCCACTACTTTGGATATTCATAGAGTCAATAAAGACTTTGCGGAAGTCGCCAACTTCTTTGATTAACATTAAAAGAATGTATCATCCCCCCAAAACATCCCTCTGCTTCTGTTTCATCTCGTTCTAACATACAAAGTCCCCATCGGAAGTACTACACGCTTGAATAAACTTTCTAACGCCTCGTTGGAGTCTAATATTGCACTTCGCAGTGTCTGGTATTGGTAAAAACAATAGACATATAGAGACGGTGTATATTACATTGTCGTATTCGCTTTGTCTAATTTTAAAGACAAGTGAAACATGAATGATTGACATTAACACTGTATAGCGTTTTAAAGTGACTGAGAAGTGGATTGGATGGTCTTCATCAGATATTTGGAAATGGTTTTGGCCCTTTGGCGTTATGTGAAGTAAAAACAACACAGAGTCTATTGAGTCTTTCCTTTTCAAGAAGATACGGGAGTGTCTTTTGAAAACATCCGCCTTATTAGAAAACTCCACACAAAAGCTCTGTAAAGTAAATGAGAGTGTTGCAGTCAAATGAAACAGAGTTGATAATAGGAGCAAATAGAGTTTTAAAAGTGACAGAAATTTACACAGAAAGTATGACGTGATGTTCAAAATGTTTCCCTTTGAAATAGTAATGGCGTCTAAGAGCGAAAGGACTTTAGAAAAACAGTAAACACAAAACAAGTAGTTTCTTGTTTTTAACGACACAGAAGTGTTTTCCATATCTAACAGTTGTGTTGACTTAAAGTCTTCTTCTGTTAATTCAAGAGGGTAAATAAAGCTTTGTGGTGCTGTTAGACTCACAAACTTCTTTTGGGTGCTTTCATTATGTTGTTGTGTTGGTGACTTTTAAAGAGTCGATATCCTCCAAAATTTCTTGAGTGTTTTCTTCACTGACATAGTTGTTGATTTGCATAATTTCTACACTATCAGTTATCAATGTCGTATCTTCACTTTTTTCCTATGGACTCTCTTCATGCTTTGTATAACAATTTCCTTAACTCCTATCATCACTCTGTCAAAAAAGCCAAATACTTTATACAACTCATCAAAGACCCTCAAAAAGTACATTAAAATAAAGCCAAGTCGTTCAGTTTTTCATACAAAGCGTCGAAACATAAAATTTCTTTTCACTGCCAGGTCGACTCTTCGACGACTTCGTTGTCTACTTAGTCATCAATAAAGAGTGTAATCAATTTCCCTCTTTACTATTTTGGAACCAATGTTTCTATACTACCATTAACTATCATGATGTCACCGAAACTGTATCCATCCCGATGTGTTGGTGACCCTTCATGCCCTGCCAACACTTCACTGTTGCCCTTTAACTTAATGACATTTAGTGTGTGCGTCTCAACTCGGAAGTACCATCAATGTATAGAGTCAAAAAGTCGTTCATAACAACACCAATATGATGCCACATGTTGTACTCGACTTGTTTCGACATCACACACTGCGCTTCGTAATTCACTTCGAGCTTCCCATTCTCATTTTAAGCTCTATACCATCCTTTTGTGAACTGAATTACCATACAAACTGTGTATGATGGAAAGGATCTCGTAATCGCCAAGACTCACTTTGAAATATCTAATAATGTTCACCTCATTGCTATCAATCCTAATCGATTTCTTAATAAATGAAAGACCCTCTTCAATGTCAATGGTGACGCCACCAACATTATTTCCTATTGATGTAATTTGTTTTCTTTTTAATGTATTACAAATTTGCAGTCACAGTCCCAATTTTTTTAAACACATTTTAACACAGATAGTTTGTACCGTTTTTAATATAATTTCGACAAACTTTAGAATTACAAACATGAAATGTTTATGACGGTCATTTTTTATCATCACCAGAGCTCATGTGATGTTTGTGTATTTTATTGATGTGTTGGTTAAATTGTCAATTCACCTATATATTTTTAAGATTCCGATTGATTTTAAATTCTTTGTTGTTTATCACGAAAAAATGACAAGGGTTAAAGGAAAGTTTGCATTTAAAACTTCTGTTAGAGACATAATTTACCTAAGATCGACTTGATGATATAAATCTTTTTTAAATAATTTGAGTGCTTTTGAATTATGTAAATTTCTGAAGGAAATTCAATTTGTTAAGAAATTATTCTGAAACATTGAAACCCTCGTTCTAAACATATTATGTCAACGTGTCATTTATAATTAGTTTTTTCGAAAAATAACAGGCGATTAAAAAACACTGATGATTGTTTGAATAACAATGTATTATTAAACTATTAAAATATGCTTTTAATAATTATTAAATAGTATGTTTGTAATTTGTATTGCAAATAGCGATTTGTAATACAATCAAATTATGTTCAAAAATAGTGGTTTGGCAAAACCTTTAAGTTTCAACAAAACTACAAGAAAAAATAAATTATTTGGTATTATTTTAATAGAAGAGTTGTAATATTATATATAAATACCTTGTAATTATTTTATAAAAAAACAATTCATCATTTAAAAATACCCCATTTGAAGTTTATTAATTAACGACTTTAATATTTTATCTGGTAAAGTTTCAATTTATTTTATTGTCAAAGTGGTGAAAAAATAATAATTTTTGTATTGTATAATATGTAATAAACAAACATTTATTGTTTCTAAAATTATTTATTTTACACAACTAAAAAAAATAAAAAAAAGTGGATGTTAAATATTTCTAATCCTGATAATTTAGACTAAAAACCCCATATGATTTAGTGATATTTTACAAAATATGATCCTATGTATAATACCAAAATAATGGGATTTGTTTCGTTTCAAGTTGAAAAATGGAACTTTCGATAATTGTTTTGTGTTATAAAATTGTGTTTTTTGTTTTTATTTCAAAAAACAGCCCGTTTAATTAAGTAAATTATTCATAATAATATTGGTAAATAAAAAATGTATTTGTATGTTTCTTTATTTGAACAAATAAAATAGCATTTATTGACAATGTTTAACTATGTTTTTGTTAATTATTTTTAACATTGCGATATTAAAGGCATTTATAAGTTACAGGATAGTTTTTGTTCTGTTTTACCAACATTTAAGATTGTTTTTGTTTTTTTTATAATTCTATCAAAATCTATTAAATATTGTATATTCATTTTATAATAATTATATAATGATTGGATAATATCTTTGATTGATTATAATTATTTAAAATATAATTATTTTAATTATGTTTGACTTCTAATAACTTATATCATATATAACAAAAATATCATTTAAAAACATTTTGATTTGATCATTCATAATATTTTTTGTAATGCGCATTGACTGATATTGCTCATGAGGCCAACATTTTATCTGTTTTAATAGAGTTGTGATATAGAAAACAGTGTCGGAGTAACGTTTAAGAAAATTAAAATGTGTTTTGATTGTTTAATTATTATTTAACTAGTTTATAAATTATTTTATAATAAACAAATCTATTTATCAGAACGTATTAATTAAATTACAGTATGACAAATTTGATTTAAACGACAAGTTTTGGTTAAATAGTAAAAATTATAGTTCAATTATAATATTTTTCGAACTATAACCCGAACTAATTAATTGCTTTTTTACATTTAAGTTTATATAAACAATTGAATAATAAAAGCAAGTCAAAAACCCAAACCATTAAATAAAGAATAAGAAAGCTATAAACCAGTAAAGATTACAATAAACTATTACACAATCATAATCATTACCAACATTTTAATGTGTTAGCAAACAACGTAAAGTACAATTAAAATTTATTTGATTTCATAACCATAACATTTCAAATCCAAATTGATTATAAGTACAGTCTGATTTCCCAGAATGTGTTTTCAACGTTCTTGTTGTTCTCTATTAAACGAACATTAATTGAGAACAAACCAAAAAAAATCATAGGCCCGCTCTTTATCAAGTGAATATATGTTTAATTTGTCATAATTAAGCAGAGATTCTTATAATCCCACTCTTGGGAGGTTTGGCAGTATTTCCTTTCGTTGAATTCGTTTTAATATGTACTATTTGGTTTATAGTTAAAAACAGTATTTACCCATCACAATAGGAAATACTGTTAATTTATTGTATTTACAAAAAAAATAAAGAAACACAAAAGTATCCGAATAAGGCGGTGTATGTTTGACATGTTTGAACTCAACGAGACAAACATGTTAAGACATACAAAACAATACTTAAATGTGTTTTGGTTTTATTTTTAAGATTCAACTGTAACATTAA